AGGGAAGTGTATTAGGGTACCTGTTATTTATTATGTATATTCATGACTTGCGATGTGTTTTACGATTTTGCGACATTAATCTTTTTGCAGATGATACTGTGCTATTCGTTGCAGCTAAGGATTTAGATGATGCCGTTTTACACTTGAATGAAGGTTTTCGTTCTCGAAGTAGATGGTTGAAGTATAAGCAGTTGAAATTGAATACAAGTAAAACAAAATTTATGGTAATTTCGCGGAATCGAGTAAATGAGAACGTCTCTGTTGTAATTGATGATGAGACTATTTATCACATTGACAATGTCATCAAGAAAATTTGGAACTGGACCTTACATATAATGGAAAGTTGATCGATGTTACAAAACCATTCGTGGACCTTACTGACTACCATAACCATTACCATTAATGTTCTCAAACCATAAGTTAAAAGGTTCTAATATAGTTCTCTTTCCGAAAATGTATGGAGAAAACAAGAATTTGGAACGGTAATGGTTTTTAACAACCCATTATTTGTAAGGTCCAGTTCGAAAAAACCATAATGCATAAGGTTGAAACTTTATCATTAAACGTTCATGTAAAGTTCCATAACCATTTCAGTTAAAGTTTAGCAGGGATTATAAACAATTTTTAACCATTTTAGGTAAGGTCAATTTATGGTTCGCGTTTGTGCGGGTAGGTCGACAGGAGATGTTTTTAACTTGTATCTGAAATATGAAACTTGATGGAAAATGCAACAATGATCCTTATCATTTGTTTTCATTGTTTCCTAAGGGTATGTTTACACAGAAAAACAAAACTACCCACCGCTTGGGTTTTTTAAACTCAAATTTGAGTTATTTGACCTCAGCCCGTTTCATTTTCTCTCGCTATTGTTGTCAAAAATAGAACGAAAGATTCGACTCAACCGTCTAGTTCCGTACAAGAAGCCAAAATTGAGTAATATGCGATGTACCCAAATTTGAGTTAATTGAACTTAATTTTGGGTAGAAAAAATTGAAAATAACTTAGCGATGGGTAATTTTTTTTGCCGTGCTTAAATGCAAACTACTTTGAGCCGGTTTACCCAAATTTGGCTTATTGTACGGAACATGGGAGATGAGTGAAAAGAACTTAATTTTGGGTTGTTTTGAATTTCTGTGTAGACTATCTGATTTGTTGGTCTGATTCGAGCGGACTGTTCGATAATTTTGTCGGATGCAATGTTCGGATGCGTTCACACTTTTTCGACAGGATTATTAGATTTGACGTTTGATTTGTCGAACAAAATAGGTTTCATTCGACTCATCCAGCAAAATAGCGGCAAGTTAGGTGAAAATATTGTTTTTTTTTTTTCTAAAATTTCACGGATTTGAACCGCTAAAGAACACTTGATTTGTGTTTTGATGGCACCCAGCAGTAACCCTAATATAATGTGTATGGTTATTTTGTTTAACGACGTGACCAGGGTATCATCCAAACCACTTGTGGAATAGTTCAATCATTTGAGTTATCGTTCGGGTATGGTATTTTTTATTAGAGAAGGTAAACCGATTTCACTATTCAATAATGTCCTGTGTATGGTTTGACTAATTTTTATTTTCCAGTCTGATTGACCAAAAGATGCCGTAATGGCTTGGATCACGGCATGGTCAACAAAACAGTGTTTATATAATACGAAGCATGTATTGTATAAGAATAAGCATGCCAGACAGCAGGTCTGATAGCCTACATAGAATTTTTTAGAGCTTCAGAGAGGTTCGGAGATCTACTGAGAAATTTGTTGAGCTTCAGGGTTGTTCGTAGATCTTGAGAACAGAACTACAAACAAATTAAAAGAAATTTACAGAAATTCATAAAAAAAATCACAAGAGAGGTCGTAGATCTTCAGATAAATGTTCTAAGAAATTTTCAAAACTTTCAGCAAGCAAAAATAATTTCAGATCAATTTGTAAAACTATAAGCGAAATGTTACAAATCTTCAGCGAAATTCGCATACCTTCAGACAAGCCCAAGAATCTACAGTGAAATATCAAGTATTTTACTGAAGTTTGGAGACCTACCGAAACATTATTCAACATCAGAAAAGTTCGTAGATCTTTAGAATTCTGAAAAAATCACAAGAATGGTCATAGATTTTCAAATACAACAAAGTGTGCAGATTTTCTGATACATTTTCAGAATCTCATAAATGTTAATGGATCTTCAGTAAAATTTGCAGAACTTCAGGGAAGTCTGGCGAAATTAAAAAAAAAATTGGATTTCAGGAAAATTTGTAGATCTTGAGAGAGACACTTAAAACTTCAAGGAAGCTCAAATATTTTCAGATAAAATTTTGACAACTTAAGGTAATTTAGAAGATCTTCAGGAAAATTTTCAGATCTTCAGGGTAGCCGAGAGCCTGCAGAGGAATTTACAAAACATCAGAGAAGTTTGCAGATCTACTGAGAAATTTATTGAGCCTCAAGGTTTTTTTTTGTAGATCTTGGGAATAGAGCTACGGAGCTTAACGGGTTACGCCTACCTGCAAACTTTCAAAAAATCGATTTTTTTTTATTGTCCTAATTGAAAGTATATAAAGTTAAGAATATCTCCTCAAAAGATCAAGTTGATCCGATGAAAATTGTGAAAGTTATTCGACGTACAAAAATATTCACTTATAGTGGACTAAACCCAACTTGAAACTTTAAACGCGATTATCTCGGAATCATATTTTCATAACCGGTGCCAAAAATTTCTCGAAATGTATACATTCGATTCGTCCGATTCGTTTTGATTTCTGTTCAGTACTATTTTGTGCAGTCCACGATCGTTCGGATTTCGTCTATCATTTAATTTCGATTTTTTACAGCCGATCAAAGACAAATTTTAAGGATCGAAAATCGGCACTTCAACTTTGCAAGGCCGCCATTTTGTCAAAAAAATTAAAAAAAAACTGAAGGATCAAGGACTAGTTCAACACATGCTTAACGATTTGGCATGTTTTTTTTTTATATCAGATGATTACATCACAAACCGCAGTTGGCACCGCAAAAAGCGTTTTTTAGAACATCGTCCACGGGGAGCAGCCGTGCGGGGCACCAAGACCTCGTTATTACAGCATCGACTGATAAATGTACCATTTAATGTGTGTTCAATAAACGGCAGAAAACCGATTTTCAATATGTTGCGTCGTTTTCGAGAAAAAAAATCCAAACTTTCGCTTTTTTCGGTCTTGCAGGTAGGCGTAACCCCTTAAGACAACTTTACAGAACTTTAAAGATATTTGCAGGAATTTGACAGAAAGTTTCACAGTTTCAGACAAATGTGAGATCTTCAGAAAAATTCGTTAAATGTCAGAAAAGCACCTCAATTCCAAAAACAAATCGCAGCGAAGTACAAAAGTACAAGATTATGCAGAACTCCATGGAAGTCGGAAACATATAGAACTAAAGAACTTCAGAGAAGTCCGCAGACCTTAAGAGAAGTCCGTAGACCTTAAGAGAAGTCTGTAGAACGTTAGAAAGTTCATACGTTATTAGAAAAAATTGCAAAACTTTAGCAAAACTCACAGATCTTCGGGAAAGTTCGCCGATCTTTAGAAGTGTTTACACAACTTTAGAGAAATTCGTTAATCTTCAGATAAATGTTTTAAACTTCAGCGAAGTTCAAATATTTTCAGATAATTTGTAAAGCTTTGGGTAATATCAAAATATTTCTGATAATTCTGCAGAACTTTATGGAAAACCAAGAATCCACAAAGAAATTTACAGAACCTTAGAAAAGTTCGGAGATCTACTGTGAAATTTATTGAAATTCAGGGCAGTTCGTAGATCTTTAGAGTAATCTTCAGAAAACTTAACAGAATTTGAAATAAATTTTAGGAACTTCAGAAAACTTAACAGAATTTGAAATAAATTTTAGGAACTTCAGAAAAGTTCAGTGGGTAGATCGTAAATCAACTCAAAAATTAGCAGATTTTTAAATAAATTTTCAGAATTTTTACTGCGGTTCTTGGATTTTGAGAAACATTTACAGAACTTCAGGTAAGTTCGCTGATCTTTAGAGATATTTGCTCAGCTTCAGAAAAAAATAGTAAAAGTTCAGAAAACTTCCAAAAACTTCCGGAAAGCTCAAAAATTTCTAGATAGTCTTTTAATTCTTTAGGAAATTGTGTAGATATTCAGAGATATTTGCAGATATTCATTGAATCATGAAAGTCTACAGGGAAAATTGCAGAACTTGCGAGAAGTTCGTAGATTATTATAAATTTTGTAAACATCAGAGAAAATTGTTGATCTTCAAAGATCTTAAATCTTCTGGGATTCAGGAATTTTGTAGATTTTTAGGAAAATTTGCAGAACTTCTGAAGAACACACAGAACTTCAAAGAAATCTGTAAAACTACCGAGAAATTTGCAGATCGTCAGGAAAGATTGTTGATATTTAAAGAAATTTTACCGGAGAAGAGAAACAAAACTTCAGGGACGTCCGAAGGTATTCAAAGAATTATGCAGAATTGAGTTGTTAACAGAACTTTTCAGAACTCAAGGAATCATGTAGATCTAGTGAGAACTTTTCCCACTAGCTTGTCTAAAGTTGGTATCGACAGCTCTTGAAGGACAAGATGAGCCAGATCCCTGCCGGTGTTCCTCCTGAGCAACCATTTCCTACTCCACAAAGCTCACCTTCTCCTTCTCATTTGATTTAAAATAATAAAAGCAAATACGTCTGCCGAAACTAGAGCAATTTTCCGGTAATTCATGATGGAAGTATTTACTTTTGATTCCTGATACAGTTTTGTTTTGAAATCTAAATTGACAGTTCTTTCGACATGTACAAGCAGTGTTAACACCAGCAAACAGGAGGGTTCGACAAAGTGTGTCGAAAGTAAATTCGAGCAGATTTTTCATTATAGCGGCGGTCAAAATCAGACCAAGAAATCAGATAGTCTCAACGGACCTTAAGCAAACGTACTGTAACGTAATTATATCAAATTACGTTGTAGAAACAACGCATGTTTTTGACAAATGGTACCACACTACTCACCCATACTCATCGATCAGCTGAATCCTCTTGTTGGCTCCATTGTGTGCAAAACAATCATTCACGACAATATCGAACCCATCGTATTTGCTCCTCATGTAAATGATCAACGTCAACGGATCTCCCACCCGCACTGGTCCGGTCACTCGCGCTCCATTCGTTCCATATCCGTTGCGTATCTCCATGTAGCACTCCGGAGGACTCAGCGTAAACACTACGGGATTTCCGGTGGCGACTCTAAAATTTCAAAAGAATCCCATATTATTGTTAATCAATCACCCCCGCAACTCCATTTAATTAATGATTAACATATTGGCCAGCACATGGAAGCCAGTATATTACAAGAGAGAATATTGTACATAAATATGGTAGCGAAAAAAAGCACACTCACTCAACGTCGAGAAACGGAAAGGTTACGGTTTTCCAAAAGTCATACCCATACTCGCAAGTCACTTTAAAGTGCTCATCGAACTCTTCCTCGATCAGTGGATTGTACTGCACCGTCACCGTATTCCACATGAAGTTTTTCTGCAACCGATCCCGGCCAAAAAGAAACATTGTTGTATTATTGTTACTTACTAGATTGATCACTTTAATCGAAGCCGCGTATTGTCCTTACCGTTGGATTCTTGCGACTGTCGTCACCACCGTTGGCGTTCTTTCCCAGCGTGCCGCATCGGTTCAACTGGATCAAGAATTCGTAATAGTCCCGACCGGAACCGTTGATGTACATGCAGTCCGGATCGTAAGCGTAGCCTGCCAAGTAGAATGGGTGAGAATGTTGCTTTGATTGGAAGTTGATGAAAGGTATGTAAATGAGATGATCGAAACTTGCTGAATCATTGCTACCACGGTCCGTGCTATGGGGTGATCAGAACATTGTAATATATAACGGATAAATGTGTTAGCCTATGGGTGCAACAGGTGAGAAGAAGAACTAGACCACCCAATTGTGTTGGGTTTTTCTGAAGGTCTTTTGCATTAGAGTATCGGAACGGGAGAGCTGGAAACATGAGAAGGGTAATAATAGTCAATTGGTAACGGTACTGGTGGGATTGGAGATGGTTCTTAACTTCTTAGTGCTTTATCATATTAGCTGCTAGTAACAGTCCGAGTAGTAGGGCTTGAATTTTAAAGAAGAATTATTTTTCAGTCTTCTGGAGCCAACAATTTTTAGTAGGAAATTTTGCAAAACATTTTGTTTGAGGCTATAAAAATTCATCCATCCCTAGGTAGAAGAATGAGATGGAGTAATGCACACTTAGAAAAACCTAATTTTAAACGTGATGGAATCCATCTTTGACACAAATGATGAGACGTAAACAAACATGTCATGTAATATTAAGTGCTCCGAGACTGAAAAGTTTGTTACTCGACGAAAAGTACCTCTGATTGAGCTGAATTTCACGTCTATTATGACTCAATTATATGTCAAAATTGAAAAAGTACCCAAAATTGAGTTCCTTTCACTCATCACGTGGCTTCCGTGGGGCTAGGTAAAATTAAGTTAAAGAAGAAAACTCAATTTTGAGTAATCTTAATCATGAATCCACGTTGACCAAGTTGACAACAAAATAATAAAATGGAGCAGACTGGAACCGAACCATGGACGTTGAAATTACGGGGCCCGTGTGTTGACCACTCGTCTATCAACGGTTGTGAAAATGAAACGGTTAAAGGCGCATAAGAGCAACCTCAATGAAAATAAACTTATATTTGAGTTCATTTATTATTACTCAATAGTTGAGTAAATTTTAACCAACGCCGCTTTTCTGATTCACTCAACGGCGGACCTTAAATGATAGAACCCAACGTTGAGTTTGTTTTAACTTAATTTTGAGTATTTTTACGTGATTTTTTAAATTTACGTGATTTTTTTCTAAGCGTGTGGGTAAAATTTAATAGCATTTGCATTGAAAAGTTGCAAAAATTTGTAGATGGTTTAAGTTCACGATTATTGTACGAGTACTGTACTACTTTGTAACAACAAAGTAACGTATACGCCACCATGGCAAATTTTCACTTAGGGGAATTTACGTATTCTCGGCAACCTAAGCAGCGACCTTCTTTCTATAGCCTTTTTCTCCAAGGAACGCACACATATGCAGTATTGGTTTGTTTACAATCTTTTGCTGCCAGCTGCTCTAACAATTTCAGTCGAAAGAATTGTCAAAAACTGTTTTGAAACGCTTTTACAAAGCTCCAATCTTCTCTAGTGAGAGCGAGTATTGTCGGCAACCAGTTTTTCTTCGGCAACCGTTCCATTTGAACTGCATGTAAATCTGCTGTTCTATTATCGGCAACTCGAAATCAGCTACAATTTGTAGTGCGTGTGTTTCATTTCAAGAAAACCTTGCTAGATTGCTTTTTCTCAGTGGTAAAAATATAGTCAAATTAAAGCTGAAAGCATAAAGAACCGTTTGCATGCATTCAGCGAAGTGTTTTCGTAAGAAAATCCAGTAAAAATAGTGTTTCAATTTGGGTTGCCGAAAATAGTCTGGTATGCCGAAGCCATCATTTCCCCTATTTGTATTTTCATATTTAGTGCATCAAACAGCACCGTTTCTAAAAAAAAACTTGACTTTCGGTCATTCATCATCATAGAGCAGCCTGTTTCACGATCATCTCGTAGTTGCAAAATGTCGATTGAAAGTTAGGCAAAGGGACAACAAGTTTTAACAGTAAGCCCCCGGGACAAGTTGAGTACGTAAGTAGTAAGCAACATCTCGGCATGATCCACCAAGGGTGCGCGCACGGAGAAGCTTACACACTTAAAGATTCCTAATTTTACACGTGACGGAATCCATCTTTGACATAAAGGATGACACGTAAAAAAACATGTCATGCAAAATTAAGTGCTCCGAAACTTAAAAGTTCGCTACTCGACGAAAAGTACGTTTGATTGAGCTGATTTTCGCATCTATTATGACTAAATTTTATGTCAAAATTGACGCTCGTGTATGTCAGTCTCAGAACACCTAAATTTACATGATTTTTTCTAAGTGTGTAGGTAATAAATAGTGAAGTGTTTACTTACCGGACGAATACAACAATCCACTGAATGATCCGTTGAAGCCAATCCTAATTTTCATGTAGTCATCTTGGCATTCGGCCTCAATATCTGCAATATAATTTTGATGAAAATCTTAATTTATAAAATAAAATGTCAGATGCTACTAACGTTGCACTCGAGTATTGTTGAACCGATGCCGCCGGTTGTAGTCACGATCCCAAGGGTCTGGTCGCCAAGCCGGGTCGATATCGCTTCCGTATGCTGGCGGTAGTCGAGGATGACTGGAAGCTTGCAGCGACGTCAGTGGAATGTAACCTGCCGTGTCCGCTACGTAAACGACCTGTGGGGACACATCCAATATATCATTAGAAACAGCTACCTGCACACCGAGTGATTGGGATCAGTACAATTTCCACTAATGTGAAAAGTATACATTTTGCCTGACCAAGTGGACGCATGTGGCATGACAGCGTCATAAATGGCAGTGCGAATCAATTAGTCATCGGTCGTTTTTCATTCTGAAGTTCATATTAACTATGGCTTGATTTTTCGCGAGTAGCATTGATCCGCCCATCGTCAGTTAGGGAGTGAAGGTGTGGCAGTGTACCGTTAAATTAAACAATCACCGAGGCAGGATATTGCGTCAGGTTGAGCGTGGGTTTTCTATATGACCGCCATGCCAGTCGAAGAAGACTGAGTGGAAACTAAAATGCCTTTGAACGTAAGCTTTGGATGGACGTACTGACGGTGACCTTGAACCAAATAGATTCAGATGAGTGCACCCGTGGTGGCACCTTACTTGGCGTGATTAATTGCCAATGGTCATAATGGGTGGCCGGAGTCGTTAAACTTTTAACATATCTATAAAATGATGATTTGTGTCAGATTTTTTATTTTTATTTGCTATTGGTTTAGAATTGAGTGTTCGTTCTAAATTAAATTAATTGTTTATTTAGTTGACAGTGAATTGAATTAACAATGCAAACATACCAAATTGTCCAATTATTTATTGACTTGATCAAAAATTCCACCATTTCGTCCTTAACGTCTCCGTATCCTTGCCAAAACCGGTTTTCACCTAATTTCTATTTCCAAACAACAATCACAACTTATTCAGCAGGAAATGGCGAATTAAGTCTAAACGATTTTTAAACCCCACCCAATTAAGCTCGTTCATCTCGCAAAGGCAGACGCCTCGTACATTCACTTTTAGTTCGTTACAACAGCCGTGTCCTTATGTGCACCACTGTCAGTGTCAGGAAAAGCGCATATTGTGGTGGTAGCCAATTTTCCACTTGACTCACCAAACCAGCAAACTGCTGATCAGCTTCGCGTGGTTCGTGGTGACATTGAGAGAAGTCGGAGAGTAATTAAATCACACAATTTCCACCAGTGCTGGGTGGCTTCCAGCAGCAGCGGATGAAAGACTGAAAGACATTTAGGAGGCAAAGGAAGGGAAGACGGTCAAGTCTCGTGTCAATCCGCACAAGCCAGGGAAGAGCTTCGGTGCGGCGGCACGCATGACGGGCTATGAAATCGAAAGTTCAGACCGCGCGCTGACGCACCTTGTTGTTTGATTGAATGGGTTCCGACTGCCGCCACTCTGAGAGCGATTTGTTTTTCCCTCTCTTTTACTGACTGTTTCCACCGGCCGATGGGTGGTGGAGAGATCTACGCTTGTTGTCTAGCAGGTGCATAGAGTCGGGTGGGTACACGGTAAGGGGACTTATCTTTCCAATCAGAATAACACCGTAACCTTCATTTTTATGCAGAAGTACGAGGTCATGCGTACATATTTAACTGCGATGGGTGTGACTTTGTTGTGTTTGCTGGGTGGAAACAGTGATAATTTATCGCTTTATTAGATTGTTTTAAGTATTTGTTAAAACATGTGATTTTATTTCTCTATAATGAATCTTTGAATTCAGGAGGTGAATCTGTGGTAATTTTTTTTGTTTAAATATGTGTCTTTATCTTTCTTTATTAAAGAGACTTTCAGCCATCTACTGGTTTAAATATGTGAATTTGGGTAAGTGTGCCAGTTTTTTGGCCCTATCTTAAATTATTTTTTAATTATTTTCAAAATTTATTTCGGTACCGTATGCGTGATAATGTTTGCACCATTGAGCAATGTCAAAATTTAAAAAAATCTCAAAAATTTCGTTTTCGAGTTTTTTTATTTATTCAAAGAGGGATGTTTCTCAGAGTCTTAAACTATGATAATCTAATCATCGATCGAGGTTCCACTTGCTGCAACTACGGCCTCCCCACGTTTCTGGAATGCACGGCAGTTTCTAATAGTGTAGTCTAAATCCATTTCTCTCCAGGTACGGGTCAATGTTTGTCTGAGGCTTGCTGTACTCGGGTGGCGTTTAGAACAGGCCTTGGCCTTCATGACGCGCCATATTGAGTAATCCAGCGGATTAAGATCGGGGCTGGATGGCGGCTACATATCCTTCGCCCAGAACGGAAGATGTTCCTGCAACCACTTCTAAGTGCGGTTCGAGGTGTGCAACCAATCCAAACACCATAACGCTAGCAGGATGCTTGGTCAGATACACGTTCTTGTGCTGTATTTCTTATCTGTGAATTTTAGGCCTCTGATAATAATGATAGTTGTAATGAGGCTTTAATGAAGAGGAGTGCTTCAAGTTTTATATCGGTCATGGAAAAGTATGCCTTAAAACATAATTGTATGTTTTATTCTGGTTTTATTCTTTAGTTAAGAATTTCATTAATGAAAGTAGACACCTGTTTCTCAAAGGAAAATATTTATTTTCGAATAAATTCATAAGTTTACTTTATATAAATGAAAATCAACACACATATGACCGATTTCACGTGAGTTTGAATGTTTAATTCTCATTTCTGAAGAACGCTCGGACTTTTCTCTTGATACCGCTCATTAGATTCTGCACAACTTTCTTCTTAAATTTTCGTTGTGCTGCTGATCAAATTTTCTTGAAGCAGTCAACAGAGCTTGCTTCTTTTCCATCTTTCTTAAGATGCCGTTTAATTATTGCCAAGTACCCTAGCAGCACATTTGTCACTAAGTAGTTGTGGTTACTTGTATTTAACTTATTTCAGTCACAATCAACTTGCAGCAACTTATTATGACGGAAGTGTGTTGCTTGGGTATCTTTCGATAGGACGCAGTTCAGGGCAGTTTGAGGGATTTTAGATTTTTTCGACAAAATCTACTTTTTCCTTCTTGAGCAGCTCCAACGTAGCAGAAGCATAGTGATTAGGTGCCAGATCCGGCCAAAACAATGGAAGATCCGTATGCTTTCGGTAGATGGGTAGAAACCATTTATTGATGCATTCTTTTCTGTAATTTTCACCATTGATTGTGCCCGTTGTGAAATACGAAGAACTCTGCCACAGGAGCGAAGGACTTGCCACCCCAAAACCTTTTTTCCAAATTTTTCGGTTCGGATGTATCGCACATCATCAGGCACATCTGTCCTCTGCTCAGCGTTGAAAAATTGTGACCCGGGAAGTGTACTGGTATCCAATTTGACGTACGTCGCGTCGTCCATCAAAATGCACCGGTTCGGCTTTTGAAGGAGAACGTCATACAAGTTCCGTGACCGTATTTTCGAAGAAGCTTTTTGTGAATCCGTCCTGTTGGGTGCTTTTTGCTTCTTGTAGGTTCTGATATTGATACGTTTTTTGATATTCTGCCCAGTTCCGACGCTTATGTCCAATTTTTTGGCAATTTCACGAACGGAACACAGTTTATGCGATTTCAAAAGGCGCACTGCTGCCAGCTCCTTTTTCTAGTCCGATGATCTTTTTTTGCGCCCAGATTTCGGTAAATCTTCAAGAGAACGCGCTTCTCAAAAACTTCTTAACAAGCTTGACCACTGTAGATTTACTGCACTTCACGCTTTTCGCCAATTCTCGAAACGACAACTTTTCGGAAAACCATTTGTGCAGAATTAATCTGCGAGTTGATAAACTGATCCGACCCATCGTTCGAAATTTCTCACCTTTTTTTAATTTTCAGGTGTGTTGCCAAAATAAACAATGTTTTTTCACACTGAGCGAAAATTCACAATTTTCCGTTACGTTTTAACCCTAAACTATTGATAAACAGGTGTACAATTTCTTTAATGAACAGTCCTTAGCAGTCTCTTCATCGCGTCGATTTTCACGATTGAAGCCACTGCCTTATAAAGGGTTAATCTTAGCTGCTACACTGCAGCAAAACTTCACGTAATCGCCATTGGTGCAATCCATTAAATTTTATTGGATGTCCAATAAAGATATCGCTTTGAAAAAATCCAATGAAAGTTATGTGTCAATAATTTTCATATGACCATCCTTTAAAACACATATTTCGGAGAACAGTAGCCACCTGGAAAAAACTTGCGTTTTATATAATTTTCCAATAGCGCAATGGTATATGAAAATCAATGCCTTTTAAGTGTCATTTTCATTCCGTGTAGCTTATACGACTTTTGGCACGTTTTACTTTTCACAAAAAATTGGGAAAATATAACCGAAATGTAATAAATTACGAACAAAAATTGGATTCTAAATAAATCCGAATTGTCTATTTAGGCGGTTTTGTCCAACTTTTTGTCATGATGACATAGGAAAAATGTATTTACACGTAAAGAATTGGAGAAAAAAAATAAGTTTTTAGATTTACGATATCTTTTTCCAATATTTTTTAGAAAATTCCAAACTATCTTTTTTTTTTGGACAGTAACCTTTCCGTTAATGTACGAAGCTGATACTGCTACTCAGTGTTTGTTGCAGAGAAGCAAGCATCGAGTAATACTTTGAGATATGAATGGATTCTGGATGTTATCTTGGCAAAGAAAAGTGACATCAAAATCGGACAAAAAAGCCAAAATCTTGCATGATTCTCTCCGTCACATGTCGTCTGTATGGGAGATCATGTTTTTTTTCAACAGAGATCCTGTAGGCTCAAGACTATTTTTTTTTTCAAATGGGCGTATGTGTTATCACATATGTATTATTGAAAAAAAACTTTACTTGAAAACCATTCTAAGAATCTGATTGAGTGCCTGAGAAGAAGTTGTAGTTAATCAATTGGGCTTTATAAAAAAAATGTTCACTGAAGAAAAAATTGAATTTTTGTCCAAAAATAAAAACTAAGATTTGGAATGTCAATTTCTAATCGCCTCAACGTAAGGTTTTTTTCTTATAAGGCTAAGTCATAAGAAAATAATAAAAAATGTTCCAATATGAAGCAGCATTGAATAAAAGAGATCCTGGAAAAAAAAACAACTTTTCATAAATGTAGCTGTTTTCGAGATGTTTAAAAAAATTCGACAAAAATTGCTTTTTCCCTTTCCCTTTTCATAA